CCCTTAAAGTTCACAACTTGGAAATGATTTAGACCCCGACCTTAAAGTTCACTACCTGGAAATGGTTCATATCCCAACCCTTAAAGTTCACAACTTGGAAATGATTCAGACCCCAACCTTAAAGTGCATAACTTGGAAATGATTCAGACCCCCACCTTAAACTTCACAACTTGAAAATGATTCAGACCCCGACCTTAAAGTCCTATATATTCTTAATTACTAGGCATAAAGAGATGAACACAGTCATGCTTCAATGATTTTTGTATGTGAATCATAACATGGAAATGGACTAGTTCAAGTTCTTTATTAAGCCTTGTGCATTTGGCTAATCAATTAATAAAATAATATGTCATAGCAACAATATTTAGTGCAAAGAGAATGCACTATACAAAGGCACGGGTACCTCTAATCAGTACACCATTTAGTATTATTACTATTATACATAATTAGTTAAATTTGGTTTCTTGATCTAATACTCTTTGCTTCAAGAATAAACATACATAATTTCTTTAATTGGTTATTATTATGCACACTAGATAACTGAGTCAACTTGAAAACAGATGAACTACGCCAGTCTGTCGGAATTTAACTCTTCTTATTTGATATATAGGACATATTAGTAAAAACAGTACTCATCCTCAATCACATTTAGTGAACAAAGAGTACAGAACTTCTGTGATATTTCAAAATGTTATTGTATCTTCCTGTCTCGACAGACAAGCGATGCCAGCTAGGACATACATAATTTTGAGAATACAAATTATCGATTTTTTGCCATGCATTTTCTTAAGTATAATTGTAAACAGACATTATTTACAAGGTATCTCTATAAAAAAAACCATTTATATATAAAAAAAATATATGTAATTATAATCAATTTAAGTGTTTCTGAAGGTCCAAGACTCGAGGGACTTTTATCTCTTAGAACAAGAGAACCCAGAGGAATCTTGGCACCCACCATCGTACCATCTTCATTAGTTCTATGTCAGATTGATATTTTCTATTCTTTTCTCTTATCTGTTTGATCAGTTTGCCTGTCCATGGCCTTAATCAGTGTTTTGATCAACCTCAAAAGTTTACATGCACAACTGAGAACCAAGGAGATTCCTCCAGTACATTGTAGACAGGCATTATTTACATGGTATCTGTATTAAAGTATATATATATATATATTGTAATTATAATCAATTAAAATGTGTCTGAAGGTTCAAGACTCAAGGCACTTTTATCTCTTCGAAAAAAAGGTTGAAATTTTGAAACATATCTTTCATATATCCTTGTGAAAGACTTGGATATCCATGTACAAATCTACAACTGTCCTTGGTAATATCCTGATAATGACATATAGACCCATATTAGAAAAGAAAGAAAGAAAATAGTCTAGCTATTTACTCACTTGCGTGTTAACACGCCTTACAAAAAGATACACATTTGGCAAAAGATCAATTTACTTGTCTAAGGTTTATAATACATTGTAGTCTTTGAGGGAGTAAATGTTAAAATATCAAATTGATATGTTCGGTATAATCTTATTAGAATTCACCAAGTATTATACTCCACTAGATCACTGTTATCATATTTTAAAACAGATTATGTTTTTATATAAATATATTGATGATAATATCACCAATGATAATTTCTCCGAGTAAGCGTTAAGCTATACATGTAAGTCCCGGATATGGGTCACGTGCTTGTATCACATGCAGGACCCGGATCTGGAATATGACAGATGTTTATAACACATACAGGTCCCAGAAATCTATATTACATGTTTGTATTACATATTAGTCCCGGAGTATAGTCCAATTGTTAGGTTAACAAAAAGGTTCCTGATGTAGACAAAACGTTTGTATCACATAAAGGTCCCAGATATATATATCACGTGTTGGTATTACATACAGGTCCCAGATATATAGATCACGTGGTGGTCCCAGATATATAGATCACGTGTTGGTATTACATACAGGTCCCAGATATATATATCACGTGGTGGTATTACATACAGGTCCCAGATATATAGATCACGTGGCGGTCCCAGATATATAGATCACGTGGTGGTCCCAGACATGCAGGACCCGGATCTGGAATATGACAGATGTTTATAACACATACAGGTCCCAGAAATCTATATTACATGTTTGTATTACATATTAGTCCCGGAATATAGTCCAATTGTTAGGTTAACAAAAAGGTTCCTGATGTAGACAAAACGTTTGGATCACATACAGGTCCCAGATATATATATCACGTGGTGGAATTACATACAGGTCCCAGATATATAGATCACGTGTTGGGATCACATATAGGTCCCAGATATATAGATCACGTGTTGATATCACATACATGTCCCAGATATATAGATCACGTGTTGGTATCATATATAGGTCCCAGATATATATATGACGTGTTGGTATTACATATAGGTCCCAGATATATAGATCACGTGTTAGTATTACATAAAGGTACAAGATATATAGATCACGTGTTGGCATCACATATAGGTCCCAGTTATATAGATCACGTGTTGGTATACCATCTCGGTCCCAGATATATAGATCACATACAGGTCCCAGATAGATAGATCACGTGTTGGTATCACATATATGTCCCAGATATATAGATCACGGGTTAGTATTACATAAAGGTCCCAGATATATAGATCACATACAGGTCCCAGATATATAGATCACGTGTTAGTATTACATAAAGGTCCCAGATATATAGATCACGTGTTGGTATCACATACAAATCCCAGATATATAGATCACGTGTTGGTATCACATACAGGTCCCAGATATATAGATCATGTGTTGGTATCACATATAGGTCCCTGATATATAGATCATGTGTTGGTATCACATATAGGTCCCAGATATATAGATCATATGTCGGTATCACATATAGGTCATGGTTATATGTCCTGGATATAAATTGATTGTACGAGTTTCTTTGTCAAGATATGGAATTTAAAATGGTTAGTCACATCTAGTTTTCAGAAGACAGCAAATACTGTGGATGTTTGTAGTTTATGTTATATAGTCGTGTGTTTACACATCAGTAAGTACGTTGTATAAAGCTGCAGTGACTGTACCCGGTAACTGTTCAGATGTCTACTTGTATTTGATTATTTTCATTGTATTATCCCAGTGACCAACCCAGAGTGTATGATCGTCCTGAAGGCTGACACTCCAGGGTGAACTTCCACTGGAGATATATACGGTCCTGAGGAAGTGTCCATTGTTCCCGTCAATCAGCACCACTGATTTGGTTACCCTCTCCACTACGAGAACATCTCCAGTACCGTCAAAGCAAACATCCCCGGGGTAGAACTTGGACTGCTGACCTCCACCTACTTGTGATGTAATATCACCAAGTTGTTTGCATTGAAATTTCAGTTTCAGATTTTTATCCATCACAATGACCCGGGGTTGTTTTCCTGGTGCCTTACCAGCCATGTAGTCAACAGACGATACATTGTCAGTATCAACAGCAGCTATATCCCCGGTCTGTCTACAGTACGTCAGGCGACAGGGAACTACCGCCTCCTGTCTACAGACACCACCCGCTCCATCCGACACCTCCCGCCCGTCACTAGTGAACATAACTATTCCTTTATTTGCCATTCCTACCACCACCATGTCTTCCTGTGTGACACACAAACTCCCTAGAACAGTGTCTACGGTAAAACGTGTCGATGCGGCTCCATTGGACATGACTTCCCGGATACTTTTGTCTTCCCTCACACAAAACCATATCCTCCCTGTGGTCGGAGATACGGTAGTGGTATGAATTTTGACTTTACACTCTACTTTCTCTTTGATGTTACCCTTTCGATCTACGCGATGTATGTTGTCTTCTTCCCAGTATGATAGCCAAGCCTCGTCACCTAAACGACATGTACGGCACTCATCATACCGAAATGGTGTTTTAAAACTTGATACAACTGTGTGTGATGGAATAGGTTTGTATAACGCGTTCTCTCCGTCAACTAGTACTGTACCCAACATCCGCTCCAGCAGGTCGTTATAAACGACCCCGGGTTTGAAGGCTGCCGTCTTCAAAGCTCGTAGATCGGGCGGTGTAGTTGAGGTACTGCGAGTTTCCCGCGCTACTGAAATGACGTCTACATTTGATCCTGAAGTCAATACCTGATGACACCTTTCTAGTTGCGGTTTCAGTTTCTCTCCGAAAAGTTTTGTCAGTGCGGCTGTGTTTTTCTCAGTGATATCCGCATTTATCTTCATCAAATATCTACATATTGTCACTAATTTGTCAACCAGATTGTCTGCCTCTGTTTTTATCTGCTCCCCTTGACGTTTGATATCCTCGGTCATTTTCCTTAAGCCTATACTGCTTTCCTTCAAGTTTTCTTCATTTTTCTTAATCTTCCCCTTTATGTTCGGAATATCGGTTTTAGAAAGCTTTTCCTCATGTTGCCGGATTTGCTGTTTTTGTTCCGACACGTAATCAGTAAGTTTACCTATGTCGTGAGAATTGTGACGGCTCACAACACAGTCCATACAGAGAAGCTCATTGTCACATGTCTTACAGATATAGATAAAACCCATTCCTGGATGATGAGTACATCCAGGTACTGGAGTCTGGGCCGCCATCTTATCGTACGGTCGGCTACATAGAAATACACAGATGTGTTACTGACGTTCCTTCTGTAAACCTGTCAATTTCAATATGGCGATAGTTCGTGGCTACCGGATACAAGGCCGCCTACGGGGGAAAATGATAACATGCCCTTAATATAAGCGTGTACATAAAGTGACTACTTCCGTACAATGCATACTAAGAAAACAGGAAAATAGTGCTTTGAATGCTGAAATCGACCAAAAATAAAGAGATTTGCGTCCACTCTGTTGTATAGTGGCATATTTTTAGGGGTTGAAATTCTGTGTTTCTCGGCTGCTGTAACAGACCCGTACACGTTCGCTGTTCCACATTGGAAACGGTACGGAAGTGCTACGCAAACGGTACGGAAGTGTTACGCAAACGGTACGGAAGTGCTACGGATGACGCTTACAAACGGTGATTCGTTTGTTGTGACAAGAACGGGTTTACATAAAAAGCGGAAGCACATAAAATATCTAAAACGAAACGAACATACCCACATAGGAAGAAACGTCAGTGCACTGTAGGCTACGAGGATCGAGGCACATAAGAATGATTTAAATTTTGCCATTTCGTTTGCATAATGGATGAGTGTGAAACAAACAGAAATGTCTCGTGATTTATAAAGATAAAGGTCGATCAAATATTGGTACATGTAATATATCCATCACAAAGACCTGACGTACGCTAACAGATCAACGCGACACACAGATAATAATCAGTTATGGTCAGAAGTATTTCCACCTGCTTACCGAATAAAAGACTAATTAGTATTGACAGTAAGTAAACTTGTTACGTTTTTTTAAAACGAGAAACGTAATAATCAATAAGCCTAATAATAATAAAAAATGATATAATTTCAGACTCCTGTGTTAAGGATCCAGTACCTCTATTTCTATTTTTTATATCGTCTTTCATTTAATACTTCCATACACTTTTAGATTTTTCGTTGGATTTGGTTAATTATTAGTACATGCAAATACATGCATCGGAGATTGGAAATGTATACATGTTATACCATGTCTATTAATTAAATTTCATTCACAGATAAACAAGTTTTTTTGTTATACATCTTTTATTTTATTATGAAAATGTAGTTGATTCTTGTTTAAGTATACATTGTACGTGTATATTGTTACGGGATTCATTATATATATTTTTCAGTTTGAAAGGCAAGCTCGTGCATGTAGGAAACTATTATGAATAAGAAAAATAATATGTACTAAATATATGTATTTTTTACATTCATGATATGTACCCCTAGTGTTAATAAGAATATAGGTTTTCTTTATCGATCATAAAAATGTAGGTATCTATACTGACTTTTCTACATGTAAATCTTACCTGCCTGAGGGGTGTGTACTACAGAGGGTATAGGGGTCTGATGTCAGATAACATAGGGACTGAGACCAAGTCAAACTTCAATATATCTACAATATGTATTTCTCCGTTTGTACATGTACGTTTGTACCTTAACAGGCGTGGATCAAGGAGGGCGTAGGCTTAGGGCGATAGCTTCCTGATCAGGGTCCAGGGGCAATTAGTTATGGTAGAGTAGAGCAAAGTAAAAGGGTGTGGGTAGGGGCAGGGGTTTATTTAATAGATACATTTATCACTCATTTATATCATTTTTCACTTGGGGGGGGGGAGGGGTATACATGCGTATCTATACGAGGATGCTCACAATCTCTTGTCTCTATTTCCACATGAAAACGTTATGGCGTTGAGGGAAGATGACGACATTTTCCTGAAATTTCAAGTTAACGAGTCTCCATAATTAAGTAATTTTTCGTGAAATTGGTGATGGGGAATGGTAGCGCACACAAAATCAAGTGAAAATGTTTGCTTTAAAGTATACGTCTCTGACCGTTGTCAGACTTTTTATAGACAATACCACAATAGATGAGTGGTAAAACTACATAACATTTTGTTTGTCTGTGCTCAATAAGTGCTACAATATTTCATATTTTGTCATACATGTACGTAGCCTCATCGCCTGGTTCAAGTTCAAGTTCTTAATTACTTTGAGTCGTTCGACCCACCAGTTACAAAGTAACAAAATTTGTGATATTAACTGTGCAAAATACAAAATAACATTACACAACATTACACACACTCACAACACAATTACAAGTGAAACTATGCCTATTTATGATAATTAGGTTCCTCTCGAATTTGCAAATTTTATATATTTCCCTAATTTCTTTTGTAGTTTTCACACTCAATAATCCTTTCAATTTAAATATGCTTGGCTTTTTAATATAACAAGTTTTCAATTGCTCGCAAATCAGAATGACATGGTCTTCAACATCATACACACTCGACGATTCAATGTTTTGATGTCGCCTTTTTCTAATTTTAAGTTATGAGTAGATTTTTCTTTTGATTTCTTTCAGATATTTTTTTTGTATGGGTTTACGCAGGTCGTTTTGTAGATCAAAATGATCGTAAATATATCTATAAAAAAATCTTTTGAGAATATTCTTTTTTTTCTGCACATTCTCCTCTAAAAATATCAATAAACCTTTCTTTCTTTAATTAATTAATCTTGTTGTCGTTAATATAATATTTCCAAATAGGTCAATCCCAGCCTCTGATATATACTGTCCACTGTGTAACTTGCTAAAGGCGCTAAGTGGTACTAATTGGTCAGCTGTAAAAGGTCAATTATCTTTTTCATTGAACCATGTAAGTTCATAGGTACACTAGCCCGGAACCGCTTGACTGATTTTTGACACCTTTATAATTACCACACACAGAGAGGGCACTCCGTTAACAAACTTACTATAGACAGAGACGTATTATAATATATACGTCTCTGCTATAGACAACAAGGAATCACACTCTATTTTCTCAGGAACTCAGTCACATGATGACAATAAAGTTATCTTCATAATGTTTTTTTTAATGATTACTGAAAAATATCATCATTTTCAATAATCTGATATGAAAAGTTTGTTACGTATTAGCAGAGACGTATAATACGTCTTAAACGTCTCTGGTATCAGGGTTAGTATTCAACCTTGCTCGCTGGTAACAGAACTCATGATAGATTTTTTTTAGATTTTTTTTTAGATTAATTTTAAAACAAATCATCTACGTGAGAGGTTAAATATCCTAATAAGGGACTTTTTTTTTTATTAAATTAGGAATTCCAAGTTAAATATTAGTTAACCTTGGTTAAGGCACTGTTATAAAATGAAAGTGTGCCTGGGGCTGTCATTTCCTGATCGAGGGTCAGGCAAAGTATCTTACCTGTAGGTTTTTACCTTGTACTGATTTACCTGTATACAGCTGTACGTGATGGATAGACAATGAACTGGATTAATTGACATGGACTAAATTGCCTTGAAATCACAGAATGTGAACTTGATCAGGTACAGCACATCAGAATCCAAAGTGACCACAGGTGAATGGTCAATGCATTATCAATGCCTAGATTCTCAGGTATAGAGATATCATATTGAAAGAAATGTATCTGTCAGCGGGTGGTCATGTTGCCCTAACAACCTTTATAACGGACACTAAAGTTGTTTATACCTTAAACAAGGAACAGGTCATTACCACATGGCCAGCGGTATGCCTGTTATTTAAATTACCCCTGAGGCCTAGCTGCTGGTGTGGGGAACACACAGTAGGCCCATGGGAGGAGGGCTGGTACGTCCATGTGGCTGTTTTGTATTTTTTTTCCTTCAGACTATTATGATAGTTGGAATAATTTTCACGTAATGCGGTTTATAATTATTTTTTTTTACAATTCGTTTCGACAAATATATATTCCGTAAAATTTTCGACCGAACGTTTCACGAACGCTTTTTAAATGGAAAGATGTAGACGCAAGTGCTACGGAAACGATACGGAAGTGCTACGGAAACGCTACGCAAATGCTACGGTAATGGTACGGAAGTACTACGGAAATGCTACGCAAGTGATACGCAAGTGCTACGCAAACGGTACGGAAATGCTACGCAAATGGTACGCTGAAAGTGGAACAGCGAACGTGTACGGGTCTGTATTTATTCAAATATACATTGATGATCATATATGTACATCCCATTATATACCTAGCTATTTATTGTTACACAACACACGGAACGGCCAATTTTGTTACATTATTGAAATAAACATTGATGTATAATATGTGTACGTCCCATTATACTTAGCTATTCATTGAAATAAACATTGATGTTATAATATGTGTACGTCCCTTTATACTTAGCTATTTATTGAAATAAACATTGAGGTTATAATATATGTACGTCCCTTTATACTTAGCTATTTATTGAAATAAACATTGATGTTATAATATATGTACATCCCATTATACTTAGCTATTTATTGAAATAAACATTGATGTTATAATATATGTACGTCCCTTTATACTTTGCTATTTATTGAAATAAACATTGATGTTATAATATATGTACGTCCCTTTATACTTTGCTATTTATTGAAATAAACATTGATGTTATAATATATGTACATCCCATTATACTTAGCTATTTATTGAAATAAACATTGATGTTATAATATGTGTACGTCCCATTTGTACTGTTCTACTGTTACGACACTGCTACTGTTATAAAACTCCGATCCTTATACATTCTATGGCTGGTTGAGATTATGTCAACTATAATAACATGTACCTGTCATATACGTATTTACATGATCTTTACCAATATCTATTACAGGGTGGCATCATAGATTGAACGACAAAGCTGGACGGTCCAATTTGCCGTTCTACATCCGGTACCCCTAGCGCTGAAGAAATTCAGGCTTCCTCGTCAGCATTCAGACGCGACTGCTTTAAATATAAAACTTTATTCATTTTACAACAATTATGAAACAAGTTATCGCAACCTATATTAATGAATCTTGTTGGTCCGGATGTTAGCGCGCTGGGGGTCTTAATGTGGGAGGGAACCGGAGTACCCGGAAAAAGAGTGCGTTATCCACTGCGCTACCTGACCACCCAGTCCGTTTTACAGAGGCACCAGAGAACAACGTACCGACACATCTAGGGGAAGGTAGTGGCCGTGTGGGACAAGCATGACGAGGATGCTATCCCCACCTCGGCGTTCCTGAAGAGGGTGG